CTGGCTCTTTGCACTGCTCTCAGAAAGAGTAACCCACACCAATGCATGCCCATCACCTGGCTTTGTTTTTCTCTCCAGCTTCTTTAAATCCTCTGAGAAATCGTTTTCTCCTGTTTCTGCCTCATGCAGATATTAACCTTGTGCTAACACACGATTCATATTTGTTATGATTTGTGTCTCCTACAGCTGAAAAAGTTAAAGTTGAAATAATGCTGTATAATATTTAATACATTGTAAAACTCTTACTTGCTTTCAGTGATTGTGTGGATTGTGAGTCTGTGGAAACGCACACGCTCTTGTTGCTGAAGTTGAGGAAACTCAGTTTGTGATATAGTGAACCTGTTACCTGCCTGTTATACGTGGTGCAGTTTTCTACTGAAATAGTGCATTTAGTACATTATGTCTGTTTTTTGTTTGTTTGGTAACTACCATGTTATAAAAGGATAGAAGAGCTTCAGATTAAGGAGCTTCATCCTCCTGAAAATTCTTGCAAATTCATCCTGTGTTGGCTCGTCCACGTATCACGTCTTTGCCTAAACCTCTGAGTGCTAGTCAAGTTTGGAGTATTATGACCTGCCCCCAGATGAGCTTCTTGTGAGCTTCCACCAAGCAGTTTAATATTATACTCAAGCAGTAATGTCACAGCCCTGCCTTTGGTACAAAAAGAGTTCTTGACTATCTGTGTAAATTTGGTCGAGCAGGTTGTCTTCAGCTGTGCAGAGATGGGTTGATTGTATGTGTCGACTGCTGAGACACCTCGTAGTTGGAAGCCTGGGAAACTTTTTAATGGTTTCATAATGACTTTGCTTGGCTGACACATGCACCCTGTAGGGTTTCATTACTGTTGCTTCTGTTTTAAGTTCTGTTCTGGTTTGAACTGTTGCCTTGATCATATCAATTCAATTCCATCGTTATGAGAAGAGGCCATAACAGACTTAATTGCATTGTTTTTTCTTTTTCCAACACAAATGCATTAGTAATTGATTCCAGATACCTAATTTGCCGGGTCTTTTTATTAAAAGTTAAGCCATTGCTTATAAATCTCAACATATCAACAAAGTATTGCAGTGGCATGCTTCGAGCACAGGCCGTGATCCCTCACTGAGCTGATGAACACTATTTGGGCACATTGAGACTTTTTCTGGTACTCATTTCAGCAACAGTTTATAGATGAGAAATCACATTCTAATGATAATTACAATAATTTGCTATACATCATAATATTATGCTGTGTAAAAGAAATTTATAATGTATGTAAATGTAAATATAGTATTTGCCAAAAAGCAAGCAAAATGTTTTCACTGGTTCTCCTTAAATTATCTTTTAGGCAAATCAAAACACTGATATGATTTTGAAACATCACAACAGCCTAGTGATAAGTTATTCAGCTGTGTCGCAGTGCAAAAAATAACTCCTGATGCTGATTATGAGCCACAAACCAAAGTAGCTATCATGTGTGGATAATTATGTGACTCAAACCAGCTCAAGCTGGGCTAACTTTGAACACTCATCACACAGCTGACTGCAGGTTTACATACATTTTCGTAATGACTGAAATGGCAGCACTGATTAACAATGGGCTGTGAGGTCACTTTTATGATCAGTAATTTGCAAACTGTCATGACGATTGATAAATGACCACGAGTACCATTCACAGTTGGGGAATGGCTGAAGTCACAGTCTAAGAAGGCTAACCTGCCACGTTTCATATCCTCCCTGGTGAATTTGATGTGTCGGTCCACCGAGTTAATGAAATGTGGTACGTCCTGAGATTTGATTTTCACCCAGGTGTCATCCACATACCTGAACCAATGGCTTGGTGGTGTTCCAGGGTGTTTAGCAAAGCCCTCTTTTCCACTTCTTCCATTTACAAATTGGCCACGAAACTGAAACTGGGGAGCCCATGGCACCCATGTTTCTGCCTGTAGGACTGACCCTTGTATGTGAAGTAGGTGGAATGAGACACAGTTCAAACACACTTGGTTGATGCTGAGAGCGGCCCTGTTGCTGAGGTTGGGGTCATCCTGTAATCTGTTGTGTTCTGGATGTGGTGTTCAGAGCTGCCCACCAGCGGGTTGAGGATCGAAGCCAGAAACTTGGAGATGTTACAGGTGACAGAGTTGATCATGCAGACGATCGGTCTCAAGGTGCACCCAGTTTATGTATTTTCGGTAAACCATACAGCCTTGGTGTAGACTCTCCTGGGTACAGCCTGTGGTATGAGGTCCGGTTAACAGCCTTGTCCTGTTCTAACTGCTTCAGACAGTCTATCACCCACTTCCTGTAACCACTTCCTGTAACCAGGAAGGGGCTCAGAAGTATTCTCGTGATAGTATTTCTGGTTAAAACTGTGCACCTGCCCTCGTCTGCTGGAAGGAGGATGATGTTGTTGTCATTACTCCAAGCTGATGTTGGATGCTGGGGGCTTTGCATTGCTGAGACAGGCTGAAACTTCCGTCTGTAGCTGCTCTGCTTCCACATCTGCAATGTTGTTGTTTCGAATTGCTGTTTCTGTGGCTGTGATTGGTTACACTTGCGGGATTTGTCTCGGCGTCACTGCAAAGCTCAACCCTTTTGCAGGGATGTTTTTCTCTGCTTGAGTGAGTACACAACATTTTCACCCACATGTCCACATCCTCACCATCTTACAGTGCTCTGAATTCAGTCATTTCCAAAATCTCTGAGAATGGGACTCATGGCCATTAATCAACAGTCATGACAATTTGCATATTAATGATCATAAACTGAGCTCCCAGCCCAGTGTTCCTTCAGTGCTGCTGGTTTCAGTCATTGTGCAAATGTCCTGTTTATAAGGTTGGAAACCTGCAGTCAGCTGAGACTGAAGACGTCACCTGATGATGAGGAAACGTTTCTCCCCTTCCTTACCTGGATGATTGAGCATGCATCAAGACAAAAGTACAGTACTTGCATGGTAAATGATACAGACTGTAACTGATGAGCAGTATTTCCATTAAGAATAGATAGATAAAGAGGTGATATAAACAGTTAAAAAGATGAGTTAGACTTGTATGAGACAGTAAATGTTGCTTTCAGGAGAGATAAAGATGGCAAAGGATGTGTTGTGTGTTGAGGGATAGAGCTTAAACCCCTAAAGTTATGTCTTCAGAGACTTAAGCATTATTTAAGGGTCTGGCAGTGTTCCAGCACTACTCACTGAGCAGGACCCAGTAGAAACTGTGTGGTGTGTGGCATCAACAGTAGAAATCCACAGAACACAGATCTGCAAGAATACCAAGAAGACACTGTGAGACTGGAATCACGGAGACTTCTTTTGTTCTTATGTGTGAAAACAGTTTAGTTGATGTGCTTTGCTTAGAGCGATCGTGGCTCAAGAGTTGGGTGTTCGTCTTGTAATCAGAAGGTTGCTGGTTCGAGCCCCGGCTCGGACAGTCTCGGTCGTTGTGTCCTTGGGCAAGCCACTTCACCCACTGGTGATGGCCAGAGGGGCCGATGGCGCGATATGGCAGCCTGGCTTCTGTCAGTCTGCCCCAGGGCAGCTGTGGCTACACCTGTAGCTGCCTCCACCAGTGTGTGAATGTGAGAGTGAATGAATAGTGGAATTGTAAAGCGTTTTGAGGGTCTCGAAAAGCGCTATATAAATGCAATCTATTATTATTATTATTATGCTCTGTTGACCTTGGCACTCGGAGACCTTGAGCTTTCTTTTCCTCTCAGTAACTCTCTCCACCGTTCTGCAGCAAAAAACTTTGAGCTGGTTCAATTTGACAGGCTAAGTTGGCCATTTAAATTGGGTGGATGTGGAGGCAAATAACAGAGGTGAGTTGAACACACCCACGCACACACTCCAGTCTTCTTTATCTCTGCTTCCATCACTTCTCTTCCCTCTCCTCTTGTGTTCGTTCAAGCCACTCGTCCTCTCCTTCATTCTCCTCTGTTTAATTGTGCCAACAAAGTAAGCGTGTTATTAAGAGAGTGAAGATGGGATCTGCTTGGTGAAATGTGCTGTTAGTTGATTGGCTGGCTTCAACCTGTGGAGACTGATTGTTTCTGACGGGCAACGTTTGTGTCATCTTAAGTTCTCATCAACTTGAAAAGACCACTTGCACCTAAGAATCTATTAAACTAACAACAATTAACTAACTAACAATTCCTTCTAGTATTCTAAGTACTTCACACTTCATTTGAATAAAACTTAACTGTCTGTAATCGGCAGGAAACGTGATTTCTAGCTGGGAAAGGTCATCAACCATTCTTATGTGGCTTAGATTTTTATAGTGTTGGGGATAAGGAGTTGTGTCAGTGTGAATCACTGATTTCTATATTTGTCTGTCCTTTTTCACTACTATCCTCTGTTGCATGTCACTTAACTCTACATTTCTTATTCCTTTCCCTTTGCCTCCTCTCTCTGTGTGTCTGCTGTTTTGCGTAGTTTGTTTTCGGCAGCTATGCTTCACAAGCACAAAAATACCTTTGAATGTTTTGTCTCCTTCTCCTCTACCTGCCAAAAACTAGCTATGTATCAGAAATGGGACATCGACAGTTGTGATAAAGAAGATACTTTCTCCACTCCAAGGAAAAAAACTAGAGATTAACAATAAAAAGTCAGGATAACTGGGCTGAAATGAAATTTAGGAATGGAGCAAGCTTGTTAAAATAGCTGCTTCTGCAATAACTTGGCCTACTTTAAGTAGGTTTGCATGTCTAAAATCTGGCTTAATACCTCTTCTGGGACCTCTCCTGTACCCAGATGTGGTAGGAGACCTTGTCAGCAGATACTTTGTAACCAGGCCGGCATGCTGGTAGAGCATAGTTCAAAGGCTCAGTACCTGCAACAGTGGTCACAGGGGTTTCATAGCGCCTTGAGACGACTGTTGTCATTTGGCGCTGTACAAATAAAATTGAATTGAAAATATAGTAAATGTAGGTAGGGGTCACGACACTCCCTCTATTGTACATTCTTCTAAAGTGAAATGTCTGAATCCCTCGTCTGTGTCTCTCTGTGTTTCGCCTTGTGGCAGATCGGCTCCCAAGTCTTCGTCGGAACAGGGAAGCAGCAGTGACAAGAAGGAGCGTCCTATGAGTACCATGAGTGAAGCGTCAAACTACACAGGTGGCTCCGATTACAGCACCTTCACTGGCAGCCCAGCCACCACAGTCACTACTGCCATTACCACTTCCACCTCATCTACACGGGTTAGTCTTTACCTAAACCTCATAACAAGAGTGAGCTACACTGACTCTCATCAGCAGAGGCAGAAATGCTCTTTGTGCTGTAAATTCAATCAGTTATTTCAGTGGAGGTCACCTGTGCTGTCGATGAAGAAAAGAAAATAGGCAGAAACTTTTAGCTGTAACTCGTCTTTTTTCTGCTTCTTTGATGCAATAAGTGACTTTATCTCCACTCTGAGTCATTTCCTGTATTCTGTAATGAGTTAGAGTAACAGAAAGAATAATGTGTGAAAGTCTAAATAAAAATGCCTCATTCCTTTGATTTTAACGACATTTTAATTCATAAACGCAAAGAAGAAGACGACGAGTGGTGCACTGGGACACATTGTGTCCACCATGTTGAAACCACGATGTAGAGAAGTTAGACTACAAAAGGCACATCTTACATGTTCCAACCCTAAGCCATCAGGCATATGTCTTTGTAAGTGTATTTAAATTACTCACACAATTTACCTCGAATTGCACAAACCCTAACATCGAAAAAATGTCTTATTTTGCAGTTGTGATAGTTTCTACTAGGAGTGTTTCTTTTTAGGAGATGTTATCAGAACAAGTACATAACTGACACTTTGAGTCCTTAAACTCCTGGGGGAGCAGGCAGCTGACAGTATTACCAGAAGTAATAAATTCACTGTTCAAACTGCCAATAGCAGCCTCCACTGGTTGACCAGGCTAAGGGAGCCAAAGGACCGGCTTGCCCAAAACCACCAAAAACGGATGCCCTCTCCAGGAGATCCTGTTGTCCTTCATGTTCCTATATGGTTGCAGGTCCCAACTTCTGCAGCCTAGAAGTGGAAGTGGACCATCCCATCATAACCCCTCCATTTGAGTTCGATTTTATTTGAATGGCAAGTAGAGGGAGGTATGTTGAATGGGGGCAGAGGGCTCTGACAGTACCCATGGCTGACTAATGCCAGGACTGACGTGTTCCCCGTAGGGGATGGTGGTAAATAGAAAATGGACTGGTTCTTATATAACACTTCTACTCTGAGCATTCAAAGCACAACTTACACAAGTTGCCTCATTGTTACACATTTGCACAAACACTTCTTTATGTTCTTTGTATTTAGTGCAGTCTATCTGACACTCACACACATTCAGCAACTTGTGGTTAATTTCTTGCCCAAGGATGTTTCGCATGCAGACTGGAGGAGACAGGGATCGATTGGTAGGTTGGCTAATAGGTCTACCTCCTGAGCTACAGCCATGTTGGCAGTAGCAATGATGCCTTGACTAACCCAAGTATCCACCGGGTGACTGAGTCACTCATCAATACTCTGTTCAGTGCCTGGACCCAGAACAGCTAATGGTTACTGGTGCAGACATAATCTCAGTGTGGGGATGGATCAAGAAAGGGGTAGGTCGGCCACCCCCGGCTGATCTAGTATCTTGTAGCCCCACCACCAAAGCTTACTGGTTGTACTGGAAAAGACTGTATCTAAAAGAGCAAGATGTTTGATGGCCAAGTTGGGGGTCACTTCACCAGCTTCATCTCGTGTTCCTTCTTCCTGATGTTGCTGTCATT